TTATAAATATTGCAGAGTGTTTGTCCAGCCTAAAGGAAAGAAAATTGAGCCGCTACCATCACGTCTGCATGTTGAAGCTGCATCGGCAAATCCGATATCTGTACCAATTTCTGCTGAAGACGTTAACCGGCGCGGTCCAGTTGGTCGTACTCCCACCATGGTACTTATGAGGAATACAGCCAAGACAGAGGAGCAAATTTTGGAAGACTTGACAAGGCTCCGCTCCGCTGGCGCAGATTTGAATCTTTGGGATGACGGTATGGAAGATTTTTATTTGTTTTTGTAGAATGTTTTTCTGCTTCAAAAAATAGGCTGAAATTCTGTCAAAGTTGGTATAAAAATCATGTAATTAAGGTGATGATACTGCTCTGCACACAGCTGTCTCGATGGGAAGATTATCTGTAGTCCAAAAACTTCTACAACTCGGTGCTTCCCCAGCCATTCGTGATCGCCAGAATTCCACATGCCTCCACTTAGCTGCGCGAATGTGCGCCCATGATATGGTAAAAGCTTTACTGGAGGTTGAGGAGATGAGATTGGATGTAGGTTTATCAGCACTGTCATTGTATTTGCATAACCTTAAGGCTGTCTTTAGGTTGACGCTGTAGATGACGAAAATCGAACTGCTCTGATGCTGGTTGCAATGCATGACAGAACGGACACGAAAATTGCTGAGTTGTTACTTGCTGCTGGGGCTAGAGTCGATTATGATGGCGACAATGTGAGAGCATTTTCTGTATCGCCTTAAATCGATAGGTCATCATATCGTCAAGTTCTAGGCATTGAATACATGGACAGGAAGGACAGCTCTTCACTTCGCTGCCAAATACGATAATACGAGAATGGTTGCGTTTTTACTAGAACATCGTGCCAATAAGGATTGTCAGGATCATGAGGTTAGAGCCTCTCATTATATAGTGCCCATAGATTTGAGCTCCTTTCAACTTTTTTAGTGTTGCACACCTCTTCATCTGGCTGCATCCGAAGGACATGAAGGACCAGTGAAGG